AAAAAAAAAAAAAATGGTGCCAACCCTCTTACAAAAAGGTTAGAAATAAAACCTTGATGATTGATGCCCATATTATAATAATTCATTTCAATTATTCAATGAATTTAACTTTTTAACTAGGTCTCGAACCCGCTACGTAAAAATTAAGCTCCAGTGAATACACAAAAAAAGCATCATAGTTCCACGTCGAGAGTTGCGATAACTTGGACTTGCCGCACGCTTAAGCTATAATTCTTCGATGAAAATATCCCTCGATTCGGCACCCATGGGTGGTCAATGGATGCAAATGTGCCCACAAATGCAATTGAAGGACCAAGTACAAAAGCAAATATCTTCACTAGGTGTAAACAACTGACACAACTTTGCTAAGAAACTCTGGAATTTGGCGAAGTTTTTTGGTCTCGGCCTAAACCGAAAAGTTGTGATATCGCGAACGGTAGATTTTTTCGACTATGCGAGTATAGCACAGAAGTATTCTACGTGTAGTTATAAGAAAATTAGCCGTAGAAACCATCGGTCTAAAATCAACTTAGATTTTCCCAATTTGCGTCTTGATTCGATACTCGTCAGAGGCATGAACAACGAAAAAGCATCTGTGAAGTTCAGAATAAAAGCGTGTACAAGCGAAAAAATATTCTATCAACAATGACTTCTGATGTAATGCAGAGCTGGGGTATATGGTCCTGCCCTAGGACATCGCAATGTTAACTGGACCACACGTTTTATATGCATGCTGGCTAATTTTGGAGTACTACTTGACCCTTAGGGAGTACTCTTTACATGCATGCATGGCGTAAATAGTCGCCATTTTTGCAGGGATGATCCCATCTCTGTTTTCTGCTGTCTGCCCTTCTTGCCAATTACAATACCACCGCAGAGAAAAAATGCTCAATTTCGCGCTACTCGCTGCAATCTCAATTTATTTCCCAATTGACTTTGTAGCGTCTGTCGGCGACAGCAAATAATTGCCAACAATAAAATATGTTGCAATTATGCGGCAACTATTTTGCGATTTACCGGCGACAATCTACCCCGTTTCGGTTGAACACAGAGCACACACACACAAACAAATAAGCGAACGAACGCGCGGGCAGTGATTGTCCAGACTAACAAGTTAGCATTCCAATGCGCCAATGGGATTCATAAGGACATCAACACACCGCAGCACGCCAACTCATGTTCAAAGGTTGCCGCGACGGCGCAACAACAGCAATAACAACTTTACAATAATGACAACAGTTGCTGTACTGCTGTTAATGTTATTTTTCAGTTATTTTATTTATTTTTTGTTCCTTTATCATGATTATTGCTGTTGCCAGAGACTGTTGAAATATCCATAGCGTTGACAGTTTACAAGCGATAACAATGTGCGGCACTTAGTCAATGTCCTTGGGCGTGCATATGTATGTCACCAAAGAGTTGGTTGAGTACAATGCACTATAGAGGAGGTGAAGATGAGGCAGGGAAGTTAGTACATAGGAGATTCAAGAGGCAACAGCGAATATAAAGTGAGGTCCAAAAGTTCGTGAGAGAAAATTTTAGTGCGTCATTCCTACAGGGCTTTTGGTAGCTTATTAGTTATGGCATGGGCACAGTAATTAATATGCGAAAAATTACCAAAACACAACCTAACACTAAATCAACCATTTCGCTGTAAATATTGTCATAAAGCGCTCGTTTATTTCATGGCTTGGGAAAAATACACGCTACAGTTATTATTTTCTTCTTTATTTTATTGTGTACGCAACATTACGTTGTTTCTGATTATCTCCGTTAACACGTTTTTTTTTTCTGATGTTCTCCCCATGTCTAGTTTTTGATTGGCCTTGAGCGGCAGTTAAGCGCGAAAAATCGATTTTCAGTTGGTTAAAGATTACTTATTTTTTTAACGAGTTTTTTACTTGCTTCTTCTTAACTTGCGTAAGGTACGACTCACGATAATTTTTTCCGTTTTCTATTTCTCTGACGGTTCACCACCTTTGCAATTCATACAAAAAAAAATCACACTCATTGAGAAGTAAATTTTCATGAAGGTTAGTGTTTTTAATCAAATTATTAGCTAGTCACTAATTTACAATTAATTTTCAAGTAAGGAAACATAAATGTGACTCTTAAGGGTTACCACCCAGTCGGAAAAGTAGTAATGCATTACATGCGCGATAAATAGTATAATGTATTTCTTATGAGTTCTCGATTATATTACTGCTAACTATGTAATCAGCATTCTAATGTATTCAAAAAGTTCCAAAAATTTCATATTACAACACATTCATTTCTCGATGCTAGGTAATGCAAAATTTAATGCCCCACTTTTCTTTGGATATCGCCCTGGGGAAAAAATGCATTTTCGTATGTGAAAAGGGTTGTTTTACTGATTATTTTTTCGATTACTATACATTACATTTTCCCTCTTGGCATTGTTATGTAGTCGTTACAATTTAGTAAAAATAGTCGGAAGAAATTTTATTTCTCTTCAAATAGGAATGCTTCCGAAAAATCCAGAAAAATTTCCAAAGGACCGAGAATTTCCAAACAAAAACTAAACCAAATTTCCCGAGCAATCTCTAAAAAATTGTACGCGTAAATCCAGAAAAATAGGCTAAAAATCCTTAAGCCTCGAAAAATATTGAGTAAAAAAAACTCAAAAATTGCAGGAATATCCCGAAAAAATCCCAAAATATTTCAAAAATTACTCTATAAATTTCAACGCGTAAAAGCTCCAAAAGAAGTTTCAAAGCTCCCACAAGTTCCTGGAAAAATTCTAAAAAATTAACGTAAAGAAATCTGAAAAGTCATGCAAAAATCCGGATAGGCCCGCAAAGTTGGACACGAAAATCCAGGAAGAGAAGCTTAAACACCCCCGAAAAATGGAAAAAAATAAAATCCCAAAAAATTCCTGAATATCCTGAAAAAATCCCAAAAAGTTTCCGGAATAACCCTCAAAGTTTTGAACGCATAAAGCCCCAAAAGAAGTCTCAAAACTCTAACAAGTTCCTGAAGGAAACTCGAAAAATTTAGCACAAGGAAACCTGATAAAGAGCTCTGCAAAAATCCAGATAGGCCGCAAAGTTAAGCACGAAGAATACCAAAAAGTCCCGAAAAAAATCTAAAAGGCCCGAAAAGTTTTAAATGAAAAGCTTCGAAAGAACTCAAAGAAATTAAAAAAGTGCCAAAAGATCGAAATCAGTCTAAAAAACCCATAAAAATTAATACATCCCGGAAATACCTCAAAAGTTTTCGAAGAAATTCTGAAAATTCAAATAGGAACAATTTCCATTTTCCAGAAAATCCGAAAAACTTAATCTAGGCAGTCCCGAAAGGCAAACCCGAAGAGTATTAAAGGGTCCTTAAAAAATTTTAGAAAAAATTGCCGAACGTCCGCAGCAAAAAAAATAAATGCGAAAATGTCCGCAAAAATTTCAGAAAAGATTCCAAAAGTTTCCGAAAAAATCCGGAGGGATCAAGAAAAATAAAATAGCGTCACGAACAATTCCAAAAATGGATGAAAAATTGAGGAAAGGACCCGAAAATCAAACACAGTATAAATAAAATAAAAAAATGTCCACAGGGGAAAATCCCAAACAATCCCGTTAAAAACAAAAACGTCCCAATGTAGATAAATTTTGAAGAATCCCGGAGAAATTGCAAAAACTCCTGAAAAGCTCTGGAAAGATCTTGAATAAATATAAAGAACATAAATAAGAGATAAGATTTTCCCGGGTATCTACGAGCAATTTAATATCGTCCTCCTATCGCCTAGTAACGATATAAAATCTGAATTGTTGCCACTCTAACAAAGCTCATTTGAAAATTTTTCAGCAGCGGCGGCAGGAAGGAACAGACTCTGTTTACAGCACAGATGGAGTTAACAGTTAAGAGCAAGCACAGCGCAAGATGTGGCTCTTCAGCTTTGCAAACGAACTGCTGCGAAAGCTGGAGAAGAAATTTTTTTGGGGGATCGTTTATGCAGAAGTTGTGAGACTTGCGTCTAAAAACTAATTTCTGGACAGCCCATACGATCTAACCCAAGACCTAAACCTGGTGACTAAATGGGCATCTACCAACATTCACGCTCGCTGTCCAACTGGGAAACAACTGGTCTCATTCACCATGAACTACAAAGTGCACAACACAACACTTCTATTAGTGGTTATCGCCAGAAGAAGAGTCAAATTCGTGATTAATGTTAAGGTTATCTTTGATTTGATATCACCGAGCAATGTATAGGTTGGCGTACAGTCGATCACCTGTTGTCCACTCTTGAACAGATGGGCATCACGTCAGCTCAGCAAACGTAGCAGGCAATTGTAAGGCGCTTCTAGCTCAGCGTTGATCAGTGACAGTCAAATTAGTCCCACTGCACTGATAATGCCGTGTTATTGGCGACGACAGTAAAAATTTATTCGTTCTCTTGCGCGCCCAAGAAGTGACGTATGTAGCCGAAAAGAATATAACCCAAACAAGCAAATGAATCAATAAATTATTTATTTCATTAAATCTTAATACATATTAAATTAAATAAAGTTACATATCAAAAATTTAGATAAACACTTTTAAGAGTTTAACAATAGGAGATATCTAGAGCCTAGCTTTTGTTTATTGTGAACAATAACACGCATCTTTCGTATTCGTCGCGATCCAACCCAAATATTTAGTAACGCGTGTGTAAACGCCCGGCGAATCCGGCCTAGCGCAACCAAAACCGAAAGATACGATACCAGCCAGGCTGTAGACACGATCACGCACAACCAATGGACCACCGCTGTCACCCTATTTAGAGAAGAAAAATAGCAAATTTATAAAAATAAAATTAATTTTTAATAAATCAGAAAAGCTATGAAGAGGGAGTATGAGAGAAAGAAAGAAGTTCGAAGAAGAAGAAAGCAGACGAGGTATAAGTAAAGAAGAATAAAACGGAAGGAGAATGAAGATGTGTAAAGCGAAAATAAAAATCAAAAACAGAAAATTAACAAAAATAAGAAGAGGTAATGAAAGGAAAGGAGAGGATAGAAAGCAAAGAATCAGTGAAAATTAACTTATTGAAAATACTCATTTTAGCGCTCTCTTTACTATGTGCTTTTCTTTTTGGCACTAAAAATATATATGTATAAATTTCGACAATAAAAGAAATCAGTTCATACCACTGACCAGCAAGCATATTTTATTCCCATACCCTCAGGCTATTTTTTGGTCGTTAAAGACATAGACAAGCGATGGGGGAGCTTTTCTCTAAACTCGCCTTTATAAAAACCATACAAAGCTTTTAAAAGCTTCACCCACTATACTCGGGGATTAAGCTCGCTCTTACTGTAAATGATATATATATATAACATAGTGTAAACCGCGACCAGAGATAGCTTTTAATCTGTAAGCGTGCATAGAAATTCTATAGAACGCTTTCAAACCAGAGATGGGCAGAGAAATGTATAGAAAGCTTAAAAGAACTTTGGCCGCGGACAAGGCAGTGCCCATAAGCGTTTTAACCCAAAGTTGGCCAATTCATAGGCACGCGTGCCAAAGCTTTCAAAAGCTCTCTGTACAATTCATATAGGGCAGGCACAAAATGAAAGCTCGCGCTGGCTAACTCTGTTTTAAACGCTTCTTGCCATATTTAAATGTAAAGAAAGCATTAAAAAGCTTCTCCCACAGAAAATTGTTTGGCCGTGATTGATATACATATGTATATACAAGCATGAAAGAGTTTTCCTCCAGCTTACATATGGCTATGAAGAGGCCAATTGTGTGAAAGCTATCTTTGGTCAACAAAGAAAAATATTTGTAAAAAGCTTCGAAAGCGTGCTATGCTTTGGACATCACTGATCCTGATTGCAATCTGCCTTCGTTTCATATGTTGTTACAAAATATTATTGGAATTCCCGTCATATTTACTCGTATCGATAACTTATCAACTTCTCCATTGTTATATTTAAATACCATTTACATACACAATTCCCCACTATGTTATCGATAAGCATATCTATAAATTCGAATCAATCTTTTTCCTCGTGAGTTTTAATTGAAATATCAATTAAATTATTTCCTTGAGTTATCGATATTAGTAATCAATATGTATCGATATATATAGTATTCTCGAAATATCTTATTGATGAAGGTTTAGATGTAAATTATCAGTTTTCGTAGCAACACTTGGTTCTCCAAATATGTTTCGATGATAGTTAACATCGAAATCCTTCTTGACATATATGTTCATATATCGATAAGGTTAAAAGTCAAAACTTTTCTTTCTAAAATGCTGCAAAGCCTATGAATGCTTAAAAAAAGGGAAAAGTGCAAGAGTAAAACACGAAAGTAGTAAAAAGAGGCTATTTATAGGCGGTTATTCTTTCCAAAACCTTTAGAGTTAAAAAAAAACTTAAACAACCACTCCTTTAATATTCCTTGCCATACTGCTCACCTGACAAGCATCCTTGCCACCTTTACCCACGTAGCCAGCACACAACATCGTACTTTTTATCATATTTTTATAACTTGTCTTACGGCATTCTTCATTTGTTATTACTGGCACATTGACCTCTTGTAAAACGCTCGCGACCCTTCCATCCTGGCTTGTAGTGCCCCAACCAACGACTGTAGCCTAAAATATCAAATACAATTCCATATAAAATTCTTACCTACCAGCTTAAAACTATGTATTCAAATGAATATTTACCTCCTTTCTATGAAAGCTTTGACTGGGATTTGGCATACAGGCGGGTCTAAGTGGATGATCCAATGGCACTCTTTTATCCAACTTCAATAAGCATATATCATTTTCCAATGTGTTACGGTTGTATTTGTTATGTACTTTCACGCCAACAACTCTTCTCGTGATGCCCTTATCTCGCGCAGAACGACTTAGCTCCAATAGATGTACGGTTATTTGATTCATGCTGAGCCCATCGCAACAATGACCGGCAGTGAGTAAATACAAATTGTTGATTAAAGTGCCTCCGCAAAAGACGAAACCTTTCTTGCGAATTTGTCCCGCCCAGGGATGTTTGTTGTAATCCACGCTTTGGCCGCCAACAATGCGTTTTACGTTTGGTACGCCGCAGCCTAGAAGAGTTATGTGAATGGTGAAATATAGTGAGACACAGAGACAGATAGAGAGAGAAAAGAGATTTCGTATGACATCGTGGAAAGTTGTCGAAAGTTGTCAGTGTGAAAATTTCGAAGAGCGGAAATGCAATTTACGAAAAGAGGCGATATGAGGAATTGAAAGAAGATACATAGATATGTATATTGTCATACTTACTGCAAGAAGAACATTTATTGAAGCGAAATTTCTTTGCATCATCATCGGGCGAATCATGATCGTCACCATTTCCACCCAACAACGATGAGAGTATTTGCTCTTTTTGCGCATTAATAATGTCAGTGATGAAATCACCCATTACGCCCTGTGGTGGGGTGGCAAAAGACTCATTATTGCCTGGTGGCTGGTTCGTAGGCAAGTCACCGATGAAGTCACCCAATACGCCAGGTGGTAGTGTTGCAGATGAATCATTACTTACGGGCCGGTAGTCTATATTCTCTGCAGGTAAGACAGGGATGCGCTGCGGCGGATGCGGGTAGTAGTAGCCGCTAACGGTTGGCTCAGGCAAAGCCGGCTGTGAAGCTAGTGGAGGTGGGTATTGATAACCATTGCCGCTGCCCTCATTTTCCTGCGGCAAAGCAGGATTTTGACTCTTGGGGGGTTCATAAATGTAACCGGATTCCTTTGGAGAGTAGATATTTCGATTATTATACTGGGTAAGTTCTAAGAAAAATTGCTGGAATTTTATTTTTGCATAATTTGTTTTCAGGAGGTATCAAGGAATTTTTTTTTGTAATCTTCCAAATGTGACTGCCATTTAAGTAAGCGTCCTCAAGCTCCGCCGGGTTTGTACCGAGGGAACTGCCACCTCGAGTGGGAGACAAGTATGCGACGAGGGACCCAAAAGTGATTCAATACAAATGCTGATGGCACACTCTTAGAGGCAAAAGAACCGGGCTGCATAGCTCTTCGTGATGGAAATTAGTTAGAAAGCTAATGATTACGGCATATTTACTCAAACCACGATTTGATGCAGTGGATATATGGGCTGACAAATGTAGTATTTTACCACGTTATTGCGCGTGAGTTAACTCTTTCTATCCTATCAACTAGCTAATACTTTAAACGTGTCGTATCGTTTAAACCTCGGCAGGTAATCAAATATTTTCCAAGTTACGTCAGTGTTAATTTGGTAGTATAGAAAGATGACATGCAGCACGTTTAGAAAAAAAAGAGAATCTTATCCCAAAAAATCAGTGCAAATCGGTAAGGAACGTATGAAAAAGCCTCTGAGCCTTATCATAGCTACGCGGAAGTAAAGAAAATAAAAAGTAAATTCAAGAGAAAGGGAAATCATGGCGAAGTTATACGACAAGAAGGGCGGCAGCACTAAATACCGCTACTGGTAGCTAAAGGTAAAATATCTCAATCCAACCCTTTGCTAAGAACTAAAAACAATGAAGGACTCAAACGACCATTATTGGCCCCAAAAACTAAACTGAATTAGAAGGTCCGGAGCTGTGACTTATGAACACTAAAACTGGAGTATCTGAGGCAGTACAACTTTGATAAATTACCTTTTACCAAAGGGGAAATACCAAAAATAGTTGAGCTGCAAAGACCAGAGAACTAATTCGAGTGCACTTAAAAACGAAAGCGATAATAGAACTACATAAATCGAATAAAATTCGAATAGATCAACTGGAACATACGGTAACGATACTTTGGTTAAAGAAATGCCTATATGAAATGAGGAAAAAGAGGGTCTAGTTGCTAATATGGCGATTCTACTTTAGACGACGCGACGAAGAGCACACTTTGTTCTAATGCACACATCCTCGAGAATATAGTGGAGTCAATTCCCACAGATTGTTTAATACTGTGAGAAAACGAGGGAGGAGAGATGTGTTTTCAAGAAAAACAAAATATAGACTTAAAAGCGTGGGTGCGACGAGCTTGAGCTGCTGGCAGGCCGAAAATATGGCAGTTACCTAATGGTTTCAGGACTAAGGCTAGCTCCTCCAAGGAGGAAGATGGAAATTAAGTAGTATACGTTCAGAGTACACTTGAGTTAAGTAGGGAACACTTTTCAACGATTTTTAATGGCGACACTGGTGGTGCATATGAGAAGTGACCTCACGGTGGGCAACGGCCTCTAATTGAAAGGCGGAAGTGCTTTGGTGTCCGGGAGTATATATCACGGCCGTGACGACAACTTTGATGATTCATTAAGCAACTCAGATCGCCCTGCTCGGCAAACAATTATTATATTTTATCTTTCATTTTCTTATTAGTTTTAGGTGGAGGGAGAAGAGGCTGTAGACTTAAAGTACATTGAAGATTAAGTATGTTTGATGTTTCTTTTTAATTTTTTCACATACATATGCCTGTTTAATAATGCAATTTAAGAAAATTAAAAGTCTATACATAGTTCAGCATAGAATTAAAAAGTCAAGTTTTTTAGTCTTAGATTCCCTTGTAATTCAGAGTATTTTTTAACAAAACGGCATTGTTTTTCCACAAAATTTGAATGTAGGTATCACCATTAAGTTAATATTTGGTATAATCTTTTTTTTTTGGTTTTCACTTCTTTAACTCCATTTATTGATAACCCTTCATATTTTGTACTTCCTTTACAGTTTACCGAATCACTCCACATTCCCGTCACACTCACCACTCGGCCAGCACTTAAATGAAGCAGTAGTACTGTCCATATAACGCTCTTTAATTGACACATTTCTGCTCTTTTGACGATTTGACACTTTGCGCCGTCTAAAGCGTTGACAGCCACAAGTACCGCTGGCACACAAAACTTCAACACTCCAAAAGCGAAAAATCAAAATTTAACAATTTTTTTTAAGATCTAACTCGTTGTTTTTTTCTTCAGACCTTCCGCGCAACACAAGGCTCGTAGTTCTACTAAAGAAGAAAGTTCCCTTCAGTCGCTACTTATATGCCAGAGTTCTGGTGGCAAGCTCCTTCTGGCCGCATTTTTGATGTTCACAACAAAAAAATGTGGAATTCTTGCTTTAATAAATTCCAAATTTTGCTATGCTGTGCACTTTATCAATGTCTCTACTTCGTAATTTTCTACTTTTATTTTTTTTTAATGTTGTACACTTATTAAATATTAAAACGTACGAAAAGAATTATTTTCTTGAAGCGCTTAAGGCCAGACGCACATGCCATCAGGTCTTCTGCACAACAAGTGTATCACTTTTGTAGTTGTTGTTATTCAGTGCCGAACGTACCCTTTACTATTTAGACAGTCGTATATTTCTTGCGAATTTTGGTATTTATCATTCCATTTTTTACAACTTTTATTTTAAAAGTCATGCATTTATTAATTTTTTTCCTAATTCAGTATAATTTTTCATCACTTGCTTTTTGAGGCACTTCTGACTGCATGACCCAATTAGCTTTCATAAGCCAGCTTTGTTTTAATCTTTTTAAGAGTTGTATTTAATTATTCCTTCTCCACACTTACACGATTTGTCGCTTCATATTTATCTGTCTTTTTCTTTTTTTATAAACTAGCTTCATTAATATTTATGCTTTTGACTAACAGCGATTTGAATTTCGCAATGAGAAACTAATTAAATTTCTGTAAATCTGTGCAATAAATTAAAGGATTTGATATATCAATTTTTATGTATTGCTTCTTGTTCTTCGGTTTAGAAAAAAAAAATAGCTTTTGCCCGCGGCACCTACCGCGTGATATACGGTTTAACGTTTTGTAATGAAATTTTCTCCATATTTCTTTTTCCTGGGAATTCTGCTATACAAATTGCATCTGAATCAGTCCTTTCAGTATGCAGAACAGCTTATATTTTGTAAATTGTCTTTAAATGTATGAATATAATCTTAGTTTCGTATCCATGCCAAGTGGCTATATTTTAATTAGCAAAAGCGAAAATGTTGCCTCACATTAGGGTGCATCACTATCCATACAAAAAACCATCGGCAGAGTTTTTTCTTTCGAATTATAAAAGCTATTGTTCTTTTTTTAATCTTACATAAATATTTCAGAAAAATATTAAGATTTGCGCGAGCTGAAACGATTTAGAAATACCGCCAAAAATCGAGTTTTTTTAATAATATTATGTTAAAAATTGATAAAATAGTTTAAGCTTAGAAGGTATGTATATAAATGTTTAAAAACTTCATCAACAGAAACAAAATTATGAAATTTTTGGTGGTATTTTAAAATTGGTCTAGCTCAGGCTAATCTTAATATTTTTCCGAAATATTTTGGCGTAAGTCTTAAAATATAATAGATTTCACATCTCCGATGGAAAAAGCATCACCCTGATTTATATTAAGTTTGGGAATGCACCAACTCGCTTATAAAATGTTTTCAAAACAAACATTTGGAGAAACAGCCTTAGTTTGTTTGACACACATACCGGATTTTTCATAAACTACCAGTTAAAAGTCTACTCCGAAATAAGCCGATATTTTTATACCCGAGCGCACTTGTGGACAAGGGTATTATAACTTTGTTCACATAACGGTTGTTTGTAACAGGCAAAACGAAACGAGATAGATATAGACAAATGTATACATAAATGATCACAATGAAAAGAGAAATCGATTAAGCGGTGACTGTCTGTCCGTCCGTCCGTCCGTCCGTCTGTGCACACGCTAACTCTAGTAAAAATTAAAATTATGCAATTTAGGAAATTTTTGCACATGCACTTCGCAACTGCCAAGTAATTGAACTTTCTTAAGTTTCAATAAGATGGCACTTCAAAGTATGCTCGGCCTAGTCTGATGCATCCTCCGGACACTGCTTCCGGAGTCTTCTGCGGACTCTGCATGGCTTACAACCATGCNTTTGGTGGCTAAATTTGGCTACCAAATTCTTTTTTTGGCCACAAAAATTTGAAATTGCCCCTAGCCCTTTTTTTAGCCCTTTTCAAAACTTATTCAACATTGGCATTAAAATTTTTTTATGATTTTCATGAATTTAACTCTTCGCTCATAAAGCGAACGCCTTTCCTTTAAGGCAAGTAAACATATGTCTATGTATGTTCCTTACGTTTCTGGGCCGTTATCTTATCCGTNTAATATGCTTTATGTGTTACACAAAAAGTTTTTTTGTTGAATAAAATAGTAATTCTTTTCAGAGTTCATTGTTTTTCTATACCAGTAATTATAGAAAATGTTTGCGTGTATACTTACATATTTATACTAGCAGTACCCCGGTGTGCTTCTCTACACCAAATATTGAAAAACGAATGAAAAGTCCTGGAATTTTTTTATATAAAAATTTATCATTTGTTTTATTTCAAAATTTTTGATTCTTTATTTTAAA